TTTCCCAGGATGCTGCACTTCAAATCTTCCAGATGGACAGAATGCCCACTGATTCCAAACCCCAGGGCTACACAGGTTCCTCTTCCCATCCTTGTTGCCCTGGGATTGGGAACCCTGTGTGGGACTGAGACCTTGAGACCCTATGCTCCTAGGGGGAGGGAGTTCTGTGCCCGCCATATCCCTCTTGATTTTAAGCTGCAGCCACTCTTGCATAAGGGGGGGTCTCCCTTTCACATCTCCACCCTTCTTACCAGTCTCTATGTGACTTGTGTACTCTTTGTTATCAATTTTGAAAATAGCTATCTTTCAATTGCTCTTTCAAATTACTTGCTCTGCAATTTAGCTGCAGCTCTGGTCTGGGGCTGGGAGCAACAAGGCACAGCTTCCAGTTAATCTGCTCATGATTTTATCCTCGATCAGTTGGCAAAGGTGGTGTGTGCCAGGTTGTCTACAGAAAAGCTACTGTTTTCTTCAAGTTACTAGTTCAACCTTATAATTGATAGGTAATATTTGGGAAGATATTGTGATACTATATAAACATACCTTTGGCACTTCATTGGTCATTCTTATATGACAAAATACTGCAAGTGTTAAGGCCAAATAGTGATTCTTCTAATTCTATCACTTTTTCTCTGTTTGTTAGTTGTGTTCTCCTATAAGAACAAACTTACCCTTATTCCACTCTCATTAGTTTTTAAATTTATTCATTTGTGTCATTATGGACTCAGGGTTCTATTCTCTGAGATATAAATCCATTACCATTGTGAGTCATTTGGAAGTTTTTGGTGTATTCATTGTTTGCAAGGATTCTAAATGATCTCATAGAAGCCAACTGGGAATTATGTATAAAAGAAACACAAGATGTAAAATCTAGAAACTAAGAAACTAAAGGAATATGGATATGGGTCAGGAGTGGGAGAGAAAGAATGAGGCATGGGAACAGTATAGATGTTGATAAATAACCTATAAATTTCAATCTATACATTTTGTAAAATATGTTTTGATTTTTTTAGAGAGAGATGCAGAGAGAGAGAGAGATAGAAACATTGATGTGAAAGAGAAACATCTATCAGCTGCCTCATGCACGGACCCTACTAGGGATCGAGCCTGCAACCCCAGCATGTGCCCTGACTGGAAATTGAACCAAGACCTCTCAGTCCATGGGACAACGCTCTATCCACTGAGCCACACCAGCTGGGCATGATCTATATATTTTAAAACTCATAAATTTGAATTATCTCCAATTCTAGTTTGATACCGTGGAGTTCTTTCCAGCCTCTCCTTTCCCGTGGACGTAGCCCCTTTCCCCGAGAGCGAGGAGTCACCACTTTCCCCTCATGTTTACTTATTGGCTGATTATTTTAATACAGCAAAGTTCTTTAAGACTCTTGAACTTATACCACTGTCATTACACATAAAGTACAGCTTCAATTTCTGTCTCCAGGTGTTTTTTGTTTTATTGTGAGAGTATATAGACAAAATTCTGGGTTCAAAAATTACTTGGGTTAGCCCTGGCCGGTTTGGCTCAGCAGTTAGAGAATCAGCCTGAAGACCAGAGAGTCCTGGGTTCGATTTCTGCTCAGGGCACGTACCTCCATTGTAGTTTATCTCCGGCCCCAGTTGGGGTCGTGTGGGTGGCAGCCTGTCGATGTGTCTCTCTCACGTCGATGTTTCTCTCTCTTTCTCCCCCCCCCCTCCCACCCGCTCTATCTGAAGATAAATGCAAAAATGACCCTGGGTGAGCATTAAAACCAAAAACTACTTAGGTTATTTATTTTTCCCCCTTTGGTCTAATTGTGGTATTAATTTCAAGTATAGTTGGGTTGATTTGTTTTGTTTTACTCTATTTTGCTTTGTTCACCACCTCTTGTATTTGTGTTTTTGATGGCAGAAGACAACATAGTCAGAACTACACTAATACTTATATTCATCCCCATCCCTTCTGCCCCACCTCCTGTAGGTAAGCAATCTGATAGTTCTGAATTCTTCCTGTATTAATTTTTGCTCAAGTAGGCTGACCTACATATATTTCATTTCCACTTCATTGTCCATAAATTGTAGCATGCTATAAATGTTATTTTACACATTGCATTTTCCCCCATTTACCAATATATCCTAATATTTCTTCATGCTGATTCATAGATATCTTTGTTCTTATTTCTTTCACAGTTACAAAATACTCAACTGATGTTTTATAAAGTTTGCTTTACTTGTCATAAAATGAGATATTGGTGATGAGAGTCCAAAATGCCACTGAAGCATATACCTCAAATGCCTAAGTGGTAAAATTTCATGTTTTGTATATTAAACCATAATTAAAATTAAAGCAAAAGTAAGATGTAATCTCTGCATACAGCACAGAAAATAATTATAAAAACAATAATAATATATGATTAATATGTTAATAGAGGGAAATGTAGTTTAAAATATATACATATTTACTCAAAAGCAAAGAGAAAAGATATGTCAAACAGATGTATCAAACAAAAACATAGTAATATGGAAAATATAAATTCAAATGTATTGTGATTACACTAGATATCAATAGACACATTTCTCCAGAATTATAATTGTTGCTCTACATAAAATGAGCAAAATCCAGCATTGCACTCTTAACAATAGACACCTCACAGATATAAGGACAAAGAAAAGTATAAAGTGATAGAATAGAAATACCATGTATCCACTAACCACCAGAAAGCTGCATCTTTACCATCTGTACTGTGCTAGTATCTTTATCTCCATGTGCATCTATCTCTATATGTCTATATTTATAGTTATAAAGTAGCTATACTAATATCAGATTTAGATGATGTGTTAAGGTAGGACCCATCACTAGAAACTTTTCTAATTATAAATGAAGTGGTGTGCTCTTAAATGCATTTTTAAAAATGCAATAAGTATCATTGGATTTATTTCCTCCTAGAGCATATTGTGAAACTTTCTGGGCTGTGAGATTGTAGAAATTTTAAATTGTCGATTCAATGTATTTAATGTTTATAGACCATTTGGGTTTCCTTTCTTCTTTATTAAAAAAAAGTTCTTCAAAATTTCCTCTTATTACCTGTTTATTGGTCTACAAGATCTATATTACTATCCCATTATTTATTCCTTATATTGGTTATTTCTGCTTTCCTTGTTTAAGCCATTCTCACCAGCGATTTGGAAATTTGACTCTTCTGAAAAAAAAAACTTTCAGTTTTATTGATTTAAACATGTCTCTCTTTTTCTAACAGCCTTGCTTTGTAGCACGTACCAATTTTTATAGTGTAATTATTCTCATCATGGCTGACTGCAGTCGGCCAACATGATATCATTGACTGTGAGTGGGGAAGAGATGTGCACAATCAGCTTGAAGTCATCAAAGCACCATAAAAGAATTATTTATTTTTTTATTTATTTTATCCTCACCCGAGTTCATTTTTCCATTTTTTGTTCAGATAGAGTGGGAGGGAGAGAAAGGAAGAGAGAGAGAGAAATATCAACGTGAAAGGGACACATCGAGTGGCTGCCACTCTCACGACCAACCAGGGCCGGGGACAAACTGCAACCGAGGTACGTGCCCTTAGTTGGAACCGAACCCGGGTCTCTCTGGACCGCAAACTGACGCTGTAACCTCTGAACCAAATCTGCCAGGGCAGAATTAGTTTTTAAAAAATGACAAGAAAGTTCACCAGAAGCAGGTCATGATGTTAAATAACTAAGTTTTCTATAACATAAATAAAAAATACAGAAGCAAACCCTGACATCTCAAAACAAAAGAGACAAATCCACAATTATCATTGTGCAACATGTTTTGCATAAGATTTTGTGTATATCTTATAAGAGATGATCGACAAGTAAAAAATATCAATTAGGAATAAAAAATTATTACCAAACCAGGTAGCAAATGTGACGTAGTGTACATATAAAACACTTATACATGACAACAGATTGGATATTCTTGTAAGGTTATTTGAACATGTCAACTTTAAGATAATTTTAGGAGACATTTCTCACTGTGCTCCTGACCGCAACAGGAGGATTTTGTGTTTGCCACCTAAAGAAGTTAATCCTGTTTGCACACATTGCTAAGGCCTGTTTTATATCTCTGTTCCTCAGGCTGTAGATGAAGGGGTTCAGCATGGGGGTAACTATCGCATACAAGACCGACGCAATTATGTGTTTGGAATCCCGTGACGAGGAGAAAAAATAAACAGCTGCAATTGTTCCATAATATAAAGACACCACAAAGAGGTGGGAGCCACAGGTAGAAAAAGCTCTTAAGAGTCTCTTAGTGGAGGGGACCCTCAGGATGATGGTCCCTATACGGATATAGGAGCCGAAAACAGTGCCAAGTGGCAGCAAGAAAACCACTCCTCCCTCGGTAAATATGACCAGCTCATTGAGGGAGATGTCTGAGCAGCTCAGCTTCAGGAGTGCAGGGAGGTCACAGAAGAAGTGTGGGATGGCATTGTCAGCACAGAAGGACAGTCGGACCAAGAGGAGGGTGTGCAACAAATCATGGATACAGGAGAGAATCCAGGAGACAGCCACCAGCAGTGTGCACAGCCCCTCCCGCATGATGGTGGTGTAGTGCAGAGGGTGACATACGGCAACGTACCTATCATATGCCATCACTGCCAGAAGGTAATTGTCAAGACCAGCAAATAATGAGAAAAAATACAACTGAGAAATGCATCCCATATAGGAGATAGATTGTCGCCAAGTTTGAATGTTCACGAGCATCTTTGGGACAGTGACAGAGGAAAGACAGATGTCAGAGAAGGCCAAGTGGCTGAGGAAGAAGTACATGGGCGTGTGCAGGCGAGAGTCCAGCCTGATGAGCAGGATGATGAGCAGGTTGCCCAGCACCGTGGTCAGGTACATGCCCAGGAACAGGGTGAAGAACAAGCCCTGCTGCCCTGGCCGGATGGGGAGCCCCAGGAGGAAGAACTCGAACCCACCGCTCTGGTTCTCAGGCCTCATGCTGCTCTCCTGTCTGCCGGAGATGAAGAACAGTTGGGAATCTCAGAAATCTGCAAAGGACGACAATCACATCTCATATGACAATTCTCCAGGACATGACTTTTAAAATACACTCTTGTTAATTTCTCACACCTGTGTATGTGTGCATCTTTGGTCTATCCTAGTTTGGCTCCAGGAATCATAGAACCCCCAAATCAGTCAACAAGACCTCATTGCACAGAAGCAAGTGTGTATTTACTGTTTCATCACCATTGTTTATTGAACATCAAGTCAGTGTCAGGACCTCTCCTAAGACTGAGATGCACCATGAACAAGGAAAGCAAGGTCCCCACTGCTATGTTTGCATCTTGATGAGCTTGGAGGGATAATTTCTGCACTAGATCAGAGCCAAACCATAACATTCACTGTGGCAGAAATAGAAGATGAGACTCTGCTAACTGGTGTCAGTCGTTTCTGCCTTAAGGTAACATGAGACTGCAGAGCTGAGTGTCCTTGTTGGAGCACAGTCACACTCCTCCTGTGACCCTGCCTGGTCCCCATGACCCACAGCTGTAAACTCCCAGACACTCCAGAGATGGCCACTTAAACCCACTTGCTGCCAGAATAGCTCTGTAACCATAATACTCCACAAAGTATCTTTCATAATATTGTTGAACATTTTGGTGCACATTTGGGTACTAGGCTATGGACCTGACCTACATTTCCTAATTAGATCCACACATCAGCCTTGCATTCCCAGATTTTAAGACCTCTTCACAGCTATACTAAGAATTCTTGTTCATTTACCTATTTTAGCTTTTATTAAATAGAAGAATAAGTGATACAAATTTTGTAGACAAACTACAGTACCATGAGGACACAATAGCAAACTCACAATTGTATGTACATCTGTATCTATCATGTATATGATATGTGGTGTACATAACAATATATATGTATTACTATTATTTAGAAATAAAAAATCACCAAATATTAGCTCCTTCATGGGGTCCACTCTAACAGGTCTCTGTGAACAGAACCCATGCTCTTTACCGTTATACCTGGAGCCTCTCCTTTTCTTAGGGGAGCCAAGCACAGTGTGTTATCTTAGAGCTTTGAAGACCCAAATTTGTCTAACTCTCACAGTCCTCTTACTGGATAATTTCATTCTTTTGTATTTATAAGCTTTCGAACTGACAAAAAAATTCTCAAAAACATTAACTTCTTTCCACTTATACTATTTAGTGAGAGTCTCTGTAAGATTCACAAAACAAGTGTAATTCTATCCATCTTACAGATGTGGAAACTGAGGCCAAGGATTAAGTAACTTTCCTAAGGTCACACTGTTACAGGATCATGATTCTGCCCCATAACTTCACACAGCATGATGCGTGGAGTGTTCCCCCACCCTGGGATGTCTAAAAGTAAAAACAAGGTTGCACCAACATGGAGGGACCTGGAGAGTACTATGCTAAATGAAATCAGCCAGTCAGAGAAAGATAAGTGTCATATGATCTCACTTATTTGTGAAATATAATGAACAAAATAAGCTGATGAACAAAATAGATCCAGAGACATAAAAGTAGGGAACAGAGTGACAAAGCTCAGAGGAAACGGGAGTGGGCAGGAAGAAATAGAACAATGAACTTATATGTACATATGCACAACCAATCCACACAGACAACAGTGTTGTGAAGGCAGAAGCAAGGAGGAGGGTGTCAATGGGGCAACGATGGGGGGAAATGGAGGAGGGACATCTGTAATACTTTCAACACGAAAGATTTTTTAAAAAAAAGGCCCTGCAGACACCGTCGTACCGGAACCGCTTAAGCCTCGCCATGGTGAACCCCATCGTGTATTTCAACATCGTCGTCGATGGCGATCCCTTGGGCTGCGTCACCTTCGAACTGTTTGCGGACAAAGTTCCAAGATGACTGAAAACTTTCGTGCTCTGAGCACTGGGGAGAAAGGATTTGGTTATAAAGGTTCCTCCTTTCACAGAATTATCCCGGGATTTATGTGCCAGGGTGGCACAGGCAGCAAGTCCATCTATGGGGAGAAATTTGAAGATGAGAATTTCATCCTGAAGCACACAGGTCCTGGCATCTTGTCCATGGCAAATGCTGGACCCAACACAAATGGTTCCCATTTTTTATCTGCACGGCCAAGACTCGGTGGTTGGATGGCAAGCACGTGGTCTTCGGCCAGGTGAAAGACGGCTGGATGTTGTGACAACCATGGAGAGCTTTGGGTCCAGGAATGGCAAGACCAGCAAAAAGGTCACCATTGCTGACTGTGGACAACTCTCGTAAATTTAACTTGTTTTATCCTAACTACCAGACCATTCCTTCTGTAGCTCAGGAGAGCCACCCCTTCACCCCCATCTGCTTGAAATGTCTATAATATTCACGCTCTTGCCACAGTTCGTTGAGTTCCATATTTTCTTTACTCTTTCCAAGCCTAGCTGGATAGCAGAGTTAAGTTTATGAATATGAAATAAAAACTAAACAATTGTCAAAAAATATAAAATATAAATAAAAAGCATAAAAGAGCAATAAGCCCAAACTAAAAACAATGTAAATATTGGTGATAAATATAAAGGGTTATAAAATAAAAAGAAAAGGTAGCACAACTCTGAGCGACTCAGTCCCACTCAGGTACATGGAAATGATAGCAGTTTGTTTCAAGACCCTGGGAGTTGCTCAGAGTGTGGTTATCTCAGCTCGTGTTACCCCAGAAGGAGGACAGTTAAGGACATACTTGAGTCACAGCTGCAGATCAGACACCCCCACACACACAGTGCTGATGGATTTCAATCACCTGTGAGCACGTCCCCATCGTAAGGGAAGGATAAGCCATATGTATCTCAGCTCATAAACACTCATATGCATACATACAAGTCATAAGTAACACAGAGTGAGACATGCCCAAAACACAGTGATGGACCACTCACACACAAACAAATCACAATGCACATCAACACACCCGACTCATAACACACCTGGTAAACACTCAATTCACCACAGAAACAGAACTCAAACATTGTACACACATATGACTCAAAACATATAAGACCACAAACAATACAACAATCTCACAAGAAATGTACACCAACAACATATATGCACACCCAGCCACACACTCACAACTAGCAGCGCACACCCTCCTATTAATGAGATACTGCCCTTCTGACCATCTCCTTCCTGGGGGAGGCAGTGAGCATGGGGCAGTTAGGCCTATTCAGTCACAGGACAGTCATTAAACCACCACCAACACCCATGCACGTGGTCACACACACGGTCACACACACATGGTAACACACACACACAGAAACCAAGCAACACACCTTCCTGCTCTCACACACGAATGTGTCCCCCACAAAAACAGCTCACTTGTGCCCCAGCACACACCACTGAGCAGAGGTCTGAGCCCTCTCTGACCTGACCTTGGCTCCCCGTGAGGTCGGGCATCTTCTCGTCCAGCAGCAGAGACAACAGTCTCACTCCCGGTGCTCAGCTATGATACCAGCATTGACCATCACAGGCATGAGTCAGGAGTCCCTGGCCACACCCAAGGAGGCTAACTTGTCTACATGCACTGAAAAGGGTCCAGATTAGGTCTAACTAGGAAAAGAGTCAGGCTGTGAGTCAGATACTCAGCACACACACACATGCAACTATCAAATAGCACGTACACAGCACACAGTACATGCAGACACCCACAGTCACGGATGCAGAGACTCATACATGATCACACCAGCACACCGGCTGATCCATCGCCAAGCGCAGATGTCCAGCTCCTCTGACCTGTGCCCATCTTTGGTCCGTCAGATACCTTCTGCTCCAGACTGTCACCCAACTCTCAGGTTTCCTTCAGGAGGCCTAACACCCAGACAGCTAGAAGAAGTATCTGTGGCCCTAGCCCTTCTACACACTTTCATTTTCCTTAACCGGCTCCAGAGGAATGAGTTCATAGATAACACATAATTACTAATGAGAGACAGAGAGAAAGTCCCCATGCTTCTGGCTGGCTTCTGACTGCCCTTTGGGGAGCTGTGTGTCCAGGAGCCAGAGGGTCTGGAGTCCCAGGGGACAGTGTCCTGATTCCAGTGATGCCCTGGACTCCTTCCTTCTTGGGCATTGTTCCCACAGCGATAAAGGATTTGTCAACTTCTTATTTTGAAATGATTTTAAAGATACAGAAAAGTTGTAAAAATGATATAAAGAATTCTTGAACAAGCTTCACTCAGATTCCCCAATGGTTAACATTTTACTATGTTTACCTTCTGTGTATATGTATGTACATATGTATGTGTGTATATATGTATATTTCAGGCTTAGGGTTTTAGCAGATATACCACAGTGCATACTATTAGAAGGCATATGATATTAAATTTTCAATGACTAGTGTTTTTCTCTTTGAACAATTGGCTAAGGAGGTGTCTTTCATGTTCTCTACGGTAAAATTTTCAATTTTTTAAAGTTAATATTTTAACCTTGTAATTCATAGGTATCATTTGGGTAGCTATTTTGATACTGTGTAAACATAACTTTTTCCTTATTAATATTTTACCCTCTATATTTAACATCCAGTGGTGAATTTCATATAAGAAAACTATTGCTTCAGTTCTCATAGCTTCTTCCCACCATGGGACTTCCCTTCTGTCTCATTCTCCGACTCTCCTCACAGCATGGCCCCCAAACTCCAGTCTTCCTTGCCAGCTCAGACAAAGAAACCGTGACTGCCTCTTGCCCCCAACCCAGAGAAGAAGTCAACCCCTCAGGAATTGACAAAGGGAGAAAAAGAACAGCAAGAAGCAATTGAACATATTGATGAAGTACAAAATGAAATTGACAGACTTAATGAACAAGCCAGTGAGGAGATTTTGAAAGTAGAACAGAAATATAACTCCGCCAACCATTTTTTCAGAAGAGGTCAGAATTGTTCTCAAAATCCCAAATTTTGGGGTAACAAGATTTGTCAGAATGGCCACCATCAACAAGTCATCAAACAACAAGTGT